TTAACCCTTTGACTACCGCAGTGCGTGCGTTGCTTCATTTATTTTTGAATTTGAAATTTTGGATTGGCCAACCTAAAAAGAAAAGGCTTAGTTTGTAACCTAACTTGGATAAAAGTAGTCACTCACTTCATAGTTGTTTTTCTTGATGATATAATCGACCAAATCAGTAAAGACCGACGATGGAGCACCGACGGCACCACGAACAAAGTGAGTTGTGAAGTTGTACAGTACACCGGAGATCCAAGACTGAAATTAGGGGTCGATGAGATGATTGTGAACGGTGTGAGAAAGGAGAACGGGGCGAAAGAGGAATGAAGAAGTGAGCAATTAATTGCGAGACCATAAATGATTTGAGGGATTTGAAGTCGGCAATCGGAAGTTGAAATCATTGTTTATTACCTATTAATAAGGCTGCGCCTGAGGCTGACCCAAGAAACACGGAGTTGTATAATTCTGAATGAATATCGAAGATCCCTTAGAAAGCATAGTTCACTGGAAACCTAACAATTAGTTTTACTTAGGCGCTAAAATCATTCTTCTAGCTGTCAGCTAATGGGAAGGATTCCCATTATCATCAAGAACAGACATCGTCAATAGCAGCGAGAATCGTGGAGATCTCTCTACTAATCATCGATGTTGGTGCAAGCCGCAGCAGGGAAATTTCAATTCTCCGCTAATTTCAGTTCACACTACTTCCACCCATTAGCATTTCACAATAATAGGAACTGAGTGAGAGAATCTAAGGATACTCACCGCGTTTCGCAGCGACGGCTCCTCGATGTCATTTACTTCGACAGAAACGAATCCGTTCTTGAGAGGTGTCTTGTCGTAGCTCTGACCAACTCCAGATTCGAACCTAATAACAAACGATTACTGAAGATGATCAAGAAGCTTGATCGGCCCCCTTAGGAGATCCTCTCACCTTTCCACCAGTTCCTTATGTCTGTCATCTCGCGGGTTAGCAAGACCTGGCGTATATTTCAGTGGATTATTACCGTCTCGTATGACGTAAAGCGGCAGATTGAAGGATTCCACCTAGGACCAGCATGACTGAACTATGTGAAGAAGGACAGTAACGAACATGCCACTTGCCACACGACAAGGGCTCTGTGCATCCTTTCGTTTCTGTCCCTTCGGGCATCCACACAATTTTCCAGCGATACATTCCTCTCCGAGCGCTTCATTACAGAACATCGTCCCGCATGAGGTACCGTAAACCTGGTCTTCGACCTTAAGACCAATCAGTTGTTTAAAATGGCTTATCGATTCGATTTCTGGATCTTGCTCAGAAAGGAACAACTGGACCATCACTAACTTGCAAGGATCCAACAGTGCAAAGTCATCGGCAACTTTCAGTTTGTCGATTCGCCCTCCGTTCGCCTTGACCTGAAATTTTTTTCCATCGTATCATTGCTTATTCAATTCGAACAGCCTTCAACCCCTTCCTGATTACCACAGCCGAGAATTATACAGGGAGGGAACGAAGGGGGGGGGGGTGGCTGAAGAGAAGAGTCAACTATGGACACTTGCTTGGACAAGCATTCAGGAGAAACGTTTACACTCGACCGGGCCAAAACAGCCCATGAGTTGCCATCACAGCCCTGTGGGATTTCCAACCTCTGCAAGACATCTCACCCTCTTCTCGAGAAAGATCTCATATGGATGAGGGTAAAAGAATGGGGCGAGAAATTTCCCTTCCTCAGAACAAATTTAATCTCCATTCCACCAAATACAACCCTCATTTGAGAACAAAAAACAAGAAGATCAAATATGCCCACTTTCTCCGGAATATACCCCCTTCAACCTGCAATAGCCCAATAGCTGATCGTGCTCACAGCCCGCTCTCTGTTGCCTTTTTTCACAGTGGACTTTTGAACATCTTCTCTTTGCCATGTGCTCCCTTCGGATCTCCCAAGTATACCTGAGCAGCGAATCCTTAAACAGCTTGCAGTCGACATCTTCATTACCGGACAATTTCACGGTGCCATTTATGAGAAGTCCACGATCCCATGTGCTGAATTAAAAGTAGACATGGGTTGCTGGTGGCTATTTCGGTAATCGATTGCCCTTATCTTCTTAAAAGCTCTATTTGGAAGCACAGCGATGGCGAGAGCTGTCATATTTTGACATGGTTTAATATTAGAAGTTGGGATTCGTTAGGTGGATGTGAGACTCGGCGATTGTTCGATCGCACAGCGACAGGGGTACCCCGAGGAGGCCCGTCGCGCGAAGAAGCGGGCGAGTCAGGGACGAGTTTCGGTACTGCAGGGATTTCGCGTCAAGTTAAATAAAATGTTCCATTGTACGTCCTACATCGCTCAGGCGCTGCGACCCGTCCGCAACTCTGCCTTCTTGTGTCGCGAGGCCTCATGAGGGGTACCCCATCGACAGCGATAGCGCGCCCAACGCATACCGTACAGATCAGGAACGACACACCCTTCCACAGTAAGCTGTCTGTTCGCACTATTTCAACGAGAGGGGGGGGTCGCGCTTGTGGTTTTGAAAAGAGAGGAGGTCGCATTTTTGGTTAAGTATGTCCAAGTACCTCTGCAAAATGGCCGTAAAAATTGTGTTGCGATGTGCGGGATTGACGTGGTCTTCCAGGATGAGTTGGGCGAAGTTTTGCCAGATGAGGGTAAAGTTGACAAAATTTGTAGATTTGACGCTTTAGACCGATCCCCCCCCCCCACCTTCTCGATTGCTGTTTTGGAGGAGGAAGTGGGCGGAGTGGCCGTGTCGAGTGGTCTCGGAATCAAATACTCTCGAATAATAAAAAAGCCATGACGGGGGGGGTGGAACGATGTACATAGGTCATATTGGGAGTATCCTATACATAAGACCGGTAGTAGTGGCGGTTAGGCTTTGGGACCCTTTAGAGGGGTGGTCACAAAATCACGAATTACATACAAATTACAGGAATTACGCCTTTTTACTGGGTATAAATGTGTAAGTGATTACAGGAATTCGTTGGCTTAAAACTGTGTTTCCTAGCATCCAACGCAAGAATGCAGCAAAGCCATACTTTGAGACTTATTTCATCGAAAAACATACGAGCTCCTCTCCGCCTCATTCGGTAATATAACCCCGCACTCACATCCCTCGCAGATGTGCTACCGATTAGACCCCAGCGATGGCACCGGTGAACCAGCTCATCGCATTACACTTCAGCTGAGTCGAGAAATCCTCGAGATGTACTGTGTGTCGAGAGTGATCGTACGCGCGCAGAACGTCGTGCGAGCTGTCTGTCCGCAGAGCACAGACAGCTCGCGCAGAGCGAGATTGTGTGCACGCGCGGGGAGGAGTGTGATGAAAGAGACGAAAATCCTCAACGAGTTGTAGACAAACCCACGACCGAATTACACCCTGCTTCAAACTAATCCAGCTTTTGATGGCGCGATCAGCACAGCTTATCAGTATCACACGTATACCGTGATGAGCCTGTTCATTGGTGCCTTGTGTATCGGTGGCCTAGCAGCTCGGAAAGCGAGAAGTGCGGTATTCGATTTCCTCCTGGGGAATTGCTCAAAGCCCAACGCTCTCGTGCTACACACTTTTTTCCTCTCGATGGTATGTGCATACACAGTGGCAACTGGATAAATATGATCTGGAATGGTGTGAGTCCAGAAATAACGTGTAAGCGCATAATGAAACACACTGCAACGTATAATGAGGATAGCAAGTCGAGTTCGCAATGAAAGTTGCAGTCGTCTTTGATGTGAGTTCGACAATTTGCAGAATTTAAGGACAACTGGATACTACAATACCGCCCCTAATTTTTGTTCAATCGCCGATACAACTTTCCGTAGCAAACCGTCGTTTTGCTGTAACTTATGAAAATATGGCGCAAATGCTATAAAATTTATACCATCGGATAGCACTGGTCATGACGAATCTAAAGATATAGCGAACTCTCAATTTCCTCGAAACCTTCGGCCTTATTTTCAAGGAAACGAGCGATTGAGTCTCTTCTTGCCAATAGCAGTACCTGCGGTCATAACACCATTGCAAACCCTCCAGTTCGACTAGGAAATTCAAAACATGTATTCCGAAGCTGGAAATGTGAACATTTTCGGAAACAGCTTGCATTCGCGATCATTTTGGTACCAATCTTAACGGGATTTCAACAAATTTCAATTGTAATTTAAGTTTTCCAGGGTCCTCTCTCACTGAAAGATCTCGAGCCGGTTGGTGGCGAGGCTACGTGGCGCGACCCCAGGTGGCGGATAGGGGGTAAATCGCGGACCAAAGCCA